GACACCACAACGAACCCGGCAACTTTTATAGTAGGGGGGGGGGAGCTGCCGTGAATCTATCACTGACACAACAGCAAATCAGGATGCAAATGAGAACTGGGAATTTCTCAGAGAACAAGAGCTTTCATAATTAGTCCTAAAAATTATTTATAAAACTTAAAAAGAATTACAACTCTGAGGCATCTGGTAAAAAACTAACTGTGATCTCTGAACAAACCCAGCCTTTTTTATTTTAAGAAAAGCCCACTGAGCGGAACAGCGTCTACCAGCCAAAAAAGTTACCTACTGGCTCACAAACTGCATCCCCATGGATTCAGGAACATCCAACAGCAGCTTTACTTATCAAGCACATCAAAATGAAAATAACTGGTGGAAAAGAGGAAAGAAAAGGACAGAGACAGAAAAGAGACACCAACACACCCACCAAACTAGATTGAGAGACCATTAGCTATTAACATACTGCAAATGCACCAATTACTCACAATTACTCTGTTGCTCCAGCATCCTTCCTAACACAAGTGGCCAATTTATTTATCTTTAGGAAAACAGTCACTGCCAGTAGTACTACCATTCTTAACAGAAGTATTAAATATGAAGCCCAATTCTCAAAAGCAATGAAACTAGGATGGTTTTCTATGAGGCTGTCTTTAATTCACTTCTTACTGCCCTCAAGGGAAATATTCATCACAATTTTTACCAGCGCTTTCCGCTGATACACATCTTTTCCTCATGATAGGAGCTGAAAAGGAGAAAGCGTTCCAACAGGCTGCAGGGTTACAATGCAAGTTTAAGAGACACACTCCCGATTCATTAGATGCACTAAGCTCTGCAAGGCTCATTCTCCAAAGATGCAGGATTTCTTCTACTCCTTAATGTTTACTTTTTGCTCTTTCATGGGGATTTAGACAAAATATAATCTGCTGAAGCCCCAGCACCCCTAGACTGTCAGGTTTTCTGCTAAAATTGGCAGCCACAAACCCAGTCAGGACTGTGGCAGCTGCAGAACAAGCCCTTTGAAGTGAATATAGCTTAGACTGAAACTGCTACGAAGAAAGGAAACAGCGGAGGATCTTTTTATTTTTTAAAGCTTTTAGTCACAAATATTCACCTACTACTACGTGGATAGAAAGAAAGCCTCTTCTTTTGGTTAATTAGTGGTTGTTCTTTGTACGAGTCTCAGCCAAAGCCAAAGGAAACTTCAAAGGCCTCACTCGTCAAATGTCATGGCTTGCGCTCAATGTGAAACTGCCAGTTCTGATCTGGTTGCACAGCTATAGCTCACGCTTAGCCTGGGAGCCGATCCATATTATGAAGTAATTGCTAAGCAATTGTGTAAAAAAAAGAACAAAAGTCTCTTGAATAGATTTGGCAAAGTCACAGCAGCGGGTTAGATGGAAACTTGAACATCCTGCCAGCAGTGTGATCCCAATATGCGTTCATGCCTCACGTGACGGCATCTTCTTTACCCATTATCTGTGTAATCAGTGGTTTATCTCTTCCGTCTGTTTGGTTTTTAATGACCTTATGTGCACATATGACACTTGCAACTTTAAAACAAACAAATCCGATCTAACACGGACCACTTCTGACTGCGTGAGAGTTGAGGTCTGTAGTGCATTTTCTGGTCATGCCCCGTAATGCGAATATTCTGTAGCATTCCACTGCTACTAGTGTGTAAAAGGAAAAGGAAAAAGGTATCAAGCTAACGTTGAGGGAAGAATAAAACAAAGAGGAAATGATTCATAAAGGAATGAAGCGAAGAGACTATCTCAAATAAAACCTCTGCAAATTATCTTTTAGGAAAAAAAACGTAACTAGAACGCAACACAGAAAAAAGGAAAAGACCTAAGATACTGCAGAGATTTTGTCATAATAAAAAAAGATCAGCATACTCAGTAACCAATTTAACACATTAAAATTTGTATTAGTGGTATATGTTTGTGATCTATCAGATACGTCCTGGTAAATACTTCTTGCAAACCCTTAAGAGTCACAGGTTCAATTTTACATGACTTTTTTCCTCTTCACAAAGGCCTTTAAAACAATATTAGGCATGAACAAGATTCATGACTAATTTAGAAAGACTATTCTTTTTTAATAAATTTGGTTTAGATCTCTCCCAATGATACCAAAAAGAATAAAACA